ACATCCTACGATCGCTAACAAGTAAAGATATTTTTTCAATAGAGAAAAAGCGTTCTTTCATAGTTTGTAAATTTATGATTGTTCAAGTTTTTCTTCTTATACTTTCCGAACCGCGGTTGTTATTTATTGTGGTCATTGACGAAATATCCCGTTTAATAGTTGAAAAAACGACCGGTGCCCAAGAAACGGAGCATTTCTTGCTTAAAAAAACAATAACAAAATAAAATTAAAGCATTTTTTAAGCCTGAAAATGGAGGCACAGTGAAAAGAACGTCGACAGGCCCTTCTAAATATTTGAACTTTTTCCATCCGTTTCTTAAATGGTTAAAGTTAAATGGTTAAAGTTAAATGGTTAAAGTTAAATGGTTAAAGTTAAATGGTTAAAGTTAAATGGTTTAGCTAAAAAGGGAAAGTTTTGTTCGTTAATGGTATTTTCTGTTTGAAAGTTACTGTTCGTTAATGAATTAAATTAACGACGTTAACGGAAGGTATTTCAGAAATCCTTAACGGTGTCAGCATTAACGAGCCGTCAACAATTATTTCAAGTAAAAATCGGTAACCAAATTTTAAGGTAATATATTACAAAAACACACATATAAAAAACATTCAATTTATTTTTCATTTTCTGTAAGTTTGATACAAGTTTAAGTTGAAAATGACGAAAGTAGCCACTATTATGAAACAGTGCGTTATTGGTATTTACTTTTTCAATAACAGCTATTTTCGTTTGTCAATGATTTCAAAATTAACGGTTTAAGGCATTATTTAACGAACTCTTCCGTTAATTTTCAAAAACACGCCGTCCATTAATGAACCGTGCATGTGCATTTTAAAAGTGTACATATTAACGAAAAAATATCTACTTCATCAATTTAGAGCCATTTCAATTTCATTTGGCTCTAACATTGCAACTTCATTTGGCTTTAACATTGCAACGTCATTTGGTCCTAACATTGCAACGTCATTTGGCTCTAACATTGCAACGTCATTTGGCTCTAACATTGCAACGTCATTTGGCTCTAACATTGCAACGTCATTTGGCTCTAACATTGCAACGTCATTTGGCTCTAACATTGCAACTTCATTTGGCTCTAACATTGCAACGTCATTTGGCTCTAACATTGCAACGTCATTTGGCTCTAACATTGCAACTTCATTTGGCTCTAACATTGCAACGTCATTTGGCTCATAAAATTTCTAGATTTTGTTGTGAACGATATTCATTTAGTGTAGATAATACTGAAGTAATTCTATAGGTATAAATTAAAAAGTTTTATCTCTCTGTATTTTTTCAATTACTTTTAATGATTAAAAAATGTGTGAGTTAAACATCGGCTTGGATATTGAAGGAGAATAAATTTATTTGATTAATTTCAGAAGTCTATATATATATATAATATATATATATATTTACATCAATATATATTAGTTCTATTTCAGCAGCACACTCCACTGGACATAAAGAAAACATAAAGAAAAGGTCAAATTTATGCGATATTATTGTTACGACTTTATGACCACGTTTCGATTTTATGCACACATTAATGCGAACAAAATTCATGTAATTAAATGTAAGAAATTTAAAACATCTTTTTCAAAAGGAAGAGGAAAAGTCATGGGGGGGGGTGAACCCCCCTTCTATTTCCTTATTGTGATACAAATATATAACCTTTGATACATTTTTGGAAAGCCCGTGGGGTTTACTTCAATAATCTTTTTAAAAAATGGAAATTTGCAAAAATCCAAATATTTTCTCAAAATCCAGTTTTTTAGCAAAAGATGTGCAAAAACAAAAAGTGCACGAAATATCAACAAAACAAACATTTTTAAAAGCACTTGACCCATCAAATTCAAATATTTATAAATACTAAATTTGCAAAATTTTCAAAACCTAAATGTGATTTCAAGAAAAACTGAAAATTAAGAGCTCCTAGGGGGGGGGGGCAAAATTAAACTTTAAATTCAAAACATTTGGCTTCTTGGATATCCATGGCGGCCGTAATAAGTATTGGATACTTTGAAGGTACACATACAGTCCAATTACTACTTTATCTCTCCTTCAAACAAAACTAGAAGAAAAAATGTATTTCTAAAACATCGACATTCTATTATAATGCCATGTTAGTTTTAAACTAGAGATAGTAAAAGACATTTTGAAAATGAAAAACTCAACTTAAACTGAAATTCTATGAGATGAAAAAAGGACAAAGGTTCATAAAATAATTATGACTTGTAAAAGTTTCTGTTTTAAAAAAAAGTAGGAGTACAATTGTAATCAATATAATAAAGCTTTTCGTTCATTTTGTTTGCAAGCTCTGAGTTCTAGGGGGGGGGGCTACGCCCCCTCTTTACAGATCAAAGGGGCACAACCCTTTGCCCTCCCTCTATATACGTTCTTCTAGCCAACCTAAATTTGATCCATTAGACACATTTTATAAAAAATTCGAAAAAAAGTTATCATATATATGTCTCATCGTTCACTTTAACCGAACTTACTAAAAGGTTCAACAGATTTATTTCTATTTTCTTCTTATTTTTAAAATCAAAAATCAACCTAAAATTTGAATGAAAATATATCTATGTTTTCAAGGATATGCGCTAAATTTTCATAAAGGGTTTAGATAACATGCACGCAGACTGTAGAGATATTTTAATAGCCGGATATTTTGAATATTTTACGCTAAGCTTTTTCATTACAAATTGGATAATTTTTGAAACATTTCTATTGAAAAAGTTGTTTGAAGCTGTTAAAACCCCAAATTAAAAAGGAAATGTTGCTTTTTTATGAACTATAGATATGTATAATTTTTTGTGAAACATTACAATTAAACATTTTGCGTTAAATAGTGATTTCAAAGCGAATGTACAATCCAAGTAACTAAAGGACACATCAGCGAATATCTCTCTGGAGGTGTTAAATTCTCACAATGTCCTTTGTTGTAACCAGCTGTAGAAGAAATTCGCAAAACAGAAACTACAATCAAAATAATGATAATTTTCAAGCAAAAACAAAGAGGACATCTGATTAAATCTTGTTGAGACAAAGGTTTAAATCGAGGTACCGTCAGAAATCGGACATGCCACTCCTTAAACGGAGAGCTAGGTTAATTTGCGTATACTATTTCTAAAAAAATTGTTTGGACTGGAAACATGTGGAAATGATTTTATTGTGTTTTGAACATTATCCAGTGTACGCTCTTAATAACATGATAACAATAAAATTTGTCTACCTATCTCTTTCTTATTTTTATTAAAATTTCAAAAAATCGAAAAAGTAGCAAAAGCAAAAATATTTCCCCTTCCATCCCCAGCCGTGTAAGAGTTTCGATAAAAAGGACTTTAATTATTTTTTCAAATTCCAGGGTGAGATTTTTTTAACTTGATGGGGTGAACTGTTTTTGACACGCTTTGTGTGCAATATTTCAATTGGAAAATATTTAAATCAGCCCCGACAAACAAACAACAAAAACAACTTTTAAATTGAATAATTTTATTGTTTGTTGATGCATAAATATATTTTACAAATACAAGTAATCATTTTCATTTTGTAATATTAAAAATAAAATAAAATAACATGTTTACAAAACTAAACTTCATAATTTACATAATTTATAACAATGCATAAGTAATTAGCATGCTGCAGCCTTTGATATCTGATATTAAGAATAAATGGAGAAGATTTAAATAAAATAATTGTTAACTTTTACACATTATATGGAACGAAAAGCATGTCATTGCACTAAAAGTGGGGGATGTGATTGTGCAGTGCAGTAGTTTCCCCCCCCCACCTCAATATGTTTTGTAAATGTTCATGCCACTGCCTTTACCTTTCTCTTTACTCCTTCCTTATTTTCCCTTTCTGTTAGGGTTTTCAAATTTTTGTTGGATTTTTTTCGCAAAATTAGTTCAAAATCTTTGCGAAATTTGTTCGACATTTTCAGGAAATTCGCGAAATTCGTTCTAAATATTCGCAAAATTTGTTAAAATTTTCGACCTTTCATTCAAAATCTTATTTTTTTTTTCGCAAAAAAATACAATCTTCTTGATGCGAAATGGAAACATTTCGATTTTTATCGAACGAAAATTGAACGAAAGTTTTTGCGAAAATGAGGTCGAAGATTTCATCGAAATTCGCGAAAATTCCAGCCTTACCTCTCTATGCCCTTTCTTTACTCGACTGATCCTTCCTTCCATCTCTATCCCGTCAATTACTCCTTTCTTTCTTCCATCTCTTCCCTCTCTTTACTCCATTCTTCCTTCCATCTCTACCATCTCTTTCCTTTCTTCATATCTCTACCCTCTCTTTACTCCTTTCTTCCTTCCATTTCTACCCTTTCTTTACTCCTTTCTTCCTCCCCTCTCTACCCTCTCTTTACTCCATTCTTCCTTCCATCTCTACCCTTTCTTTACTCCTTTCATCCTGATCCATCTCTACCCCCTCTTTACTCCTTTCTTTCCTTCCATCTCTACCCCCTCTTTACTCCTTCCTTCCTTCCATCTCTACCCTCATTTTACTCCTTCCATCCTTCCCGACAAACCCCCCCCTACCTTCCTATTTTCCCCTCCTACCCTTCCTCCCATCAGGCAGCCGTGAGTTAAGATTTGAAATGTTTTGAAGTATTGATCCGTAAATTTTAGTGAGAGGTTATTCGGCTGCTGCCAACTTTTGTCTCGACCAATCACAGAGCTTCATTTCTCAGTTCTGTCTTCTCATTGGTCACTCCTGCCCACAGCCCGTCTGTTTTGCCGGATTTTTTATCAAAACATTGGAAATGGGTATCCGCCATGTTGGGCCTTTGTGAAATTAATAATTTATTAAAATTAGTGAGATTACTATGTTTAATATGAAAACAGTAAGAGTCGAGACAATTTTCGTGTATTAACATTGGCGCGTAATTTCTGAGAAAGAATTGAGTTGCTAAACTCCGAAACTTCGTTTTAACATTTCTTTTTATAGTTTTAATTATGTTTGCTTGTTTATTTTGAATTTGCAATTTCAGTGAATTGGCTGCAAGCTTGGTGAATGTGCAAGACAAAACTTGGAGTCTCAAATCTTCCAAAACGTTGACTCCTGTTTTGGAAATTGGAAGTGGAATAAAAACTAAATGTAAAGCAATGATTCCAAATCAGGCTTCTCGAGATACATGGGGGACTTCAGTGCAAGGTATTAATTGAATTCCAAAAATCGTACTCTAGGAAATTACATTTTTCTTATCGGTAATTTTGTTTTAACCTAACCTAACTCTGAATAATAATAAATAAATACTAATTTCGTCATGAACAAAATTGATAGCAAGGGGGGGGGGGTCCAAAAATCGTTCACTAGGACAGACCGCTTCTCTTTTCTTCTCTTTCCTTATGTTTCCTTCCTTTCTTTTCCCTTCCCTTCTCTTTTCCCTTCCCTTCTCTTTCTTTCCGTCTCCTTTCCTGTCTTTTCCCTCTTTTCTTTCTCTCTCCTACTCTTTCCTTCTCTTTCCTGCTCTGTCCTTCTCTTTCCTTCTCTTTCCTACTCATTCCTTCTCTTTCAATCTATGTCCTTCTATGTTCTAATCTGTCTTTCTCTGTCCTTCTCTGTCCTACTTAACCTACTCATCCCTTCTATTCCCTTTTTTTACCATTTTTTTTCCTTTCTCCATTCTGTTCCATCCCCTCCTCATCCCTTTTTTCTTAAAGGGAGTGTATGAGTGTAGTTTCAATTGACCTTCTTTGTAAAGATGGCAATGCCGATTCTTAACGGTACCAATAATCAATGTTTATAATTTATATTATTTTTTCAGTAGCGGGTTCTCTCCTAAAGCAACTTGCGCATTTCTTATGGAGATAAAAGGAATTATGAGTATTAAACACTTTTAAACTTTGAATAAGGACAAAATCTTCCACAGTATTGTTCTGATAAGAATTTTTAGGTTACTGTTGTGAATCGGGCATTGTAATATTTGTATTGAGGGTCCTTGAAATTACGCTAACAGTCCCATTTATCTCGTCATTGTATTTCACTATATTTTGTTGTGAACTGTATCATATCCCAGGTTACTATTGTGGGTCCCCTGCTGCTGCGAATTGGTTTAACTGGGCAGGTATTAAACTATATTAATTAATCCTTTGTAAAGGAAAAATATCCAGCAAGTCAGCATAAAAAGTTAACAGTCACAAAAATCATATTATCTGTAGTGTTCCCAACTTTTGATTATTATTTTTGGTATAATTTCATAGATTTTTAAATCTTGAATTTAATTTTTTTTATAATTTTCTATTTTATTCCATAATTTTTCCTAAAATTCTTATTGATTTTTTTTTAAAAGGCAAATTTTTTGAAAATTAATGGAAGTATTAATAATAATGTTGCATTCATGGGAAAAATTATGTTTTAGAAGAATTTTGTATAAAAAATATCATTAAAAAACTAATAAAAAAAAAATTTGAAAATATGTTTTTCTGATACTTAATTGTTGTATTTAGCTGGTCAATCTGCGTCAGGAAGATCAGGGTCAGGCTGGGGACCTTATTCAAGCCATACTTCTACATCACATTCAGGTAGCTGGTAGATAAACATTTTTAAGAAAAATCATTTCCCCCTTTTGAAAAATATTTTTTCCTCCATAACATACATTTATCACATAAGCTCATTCTCTGAATTGATCAAATAAATGATTTTTGGGGAAAATCAATGAATTTTTGCCTAAAAAGTATTATAGATTGTAAGTAAAGTTGTCTTTTGATGACCAATTTCTCATTCACCCTCCCCAAATTCTGAAAAATGTACACCCCTGGAATAACATTTAGGGGACTAAATATATTCAAGAACCTCCCCGGGTAAATGTAAAAAAGGTCATTCGAAAGGTAAGTTTTTTCATCCTTTCTGATACTTTTTACCCTGAAAATGAATTATTTTCCCAAATTATGCGAAATAAACGAAATAATTATACAAACATATCAAACAGGTGGAGAAAAGTCG